CAGAAGGGTAGTATGGACTTGATAGGCCGAATGGCCTGCTCCTACACAGTAGGGATTCTATGTATTCTTTGTAAAACAATATAATTAAATCATTACATCGTCAACAATGTAGCAGTTCAGCATCTAAACTGAGTTTAATGATTTCAAAAAAAGCCTCCATTTCTTACCCAGAAGTCAGATTTGCATAGGTTTTAGATTTTATTGGTTATTTGAGGGTAAGTTATTTGGTTGTACGGATGAGGAATGTCAGATAACTTTTTTTTTCTCAGTTACATTCTGTTTTCAACCATTTAGTCCTTGTTTGTCCTGTTTTACTGAGTTAGTGTAAGATGGATTGAATCCAACGAAATGAAACTGCTTCATTTTTTTAAACCAAAAACTCCCAAGTTAATCATTAAAACCAAAAATGGGGAAAGGTTTATGTTATACATTATTGACGGGGTAAGTCTGTGAAAGACTGTCTGTCTAGTGTATCAGTGGGCACCATCTGCTCCAGGTACGCCAAGACATAGCCAGCAAAGAGAGACTGGCACCTCTGTGACCACCACTTCACCCAACAGAGCCGATAACGTGCTGCATGAGCCTGTTAATGGCTGCTGTGGCTAGGCCAGGAGCAGACCTCCAGCACTTAAGTTGCTGAAAGAGAGACTGCACCTTCTCGCACTCCACATCCAGTTGGGGAAAAAAATGTCCCCAGCCACAAAATCTGGAGGCTGTAGTGATTGAAACATTGGCAGCCAGGTGGATCACATAGAGTATGAGTTCCCTGATTGGACCAGGTTAACAGCCCCAATCAGGGAGTCCTGGCTGACAGAGATTCTGCTCACTCCAGGAGGCAGCTCTGAACTAGCTGGGTCAGTGTCATGCACACGTGAATACAGGGTGATTTGGTGACAGGAAACTGGCCTTGATGGAGTTATTTCAGAGGCAAGTGCCACATTGCTGAATTTATAATTAGGCGTCACTCCTGTAGCATCTAGGTGCAAAGAAATCACTGCTACAACATCTTCACTATTTGAATAGATAAGAATGTGAGTGTCTTTATGATTCATTTATTATAAATTCATCATAGATGTAAGTGGTGTGTTTACTGCAAATGTAGCTCCAAATGTTTTCTGAAGTCAAACTAGTGTGCTGTAATATTGTGAATTATATTAGTTATATTAGATTACAGTCTAGATGTGAAAGATTTTTGTGTATGTACATTATACCTTAGTATATTCTTAAATACTGGTTACATTTTAAAGTTTTACAGTTTTTTTATATGGTGATAGTGAAGGTTACATGTCAAGTTTTTCTCTTTGCCTCATATTTCTGTATATGAAAATGCTCAACTTTTAATTCTTTAGCTTTTTCCTCCTAACTTCAAACATTTTGGTGAATTATTTTTACTAAAACTCGAAAGAGTTGCAAACCGGACAGTGCATAATGCTATGAATTGAAATTTTACAAAATGGTTATTTTATGAAATGAATGTAGCTACTGTTTTCAGCTGACATAGCTAATGTATTTACGTAAAATAGGTTAGGAAAATGTATGAAACAAAACACGTTTTGCTTCAGGTACAATGTTTTTCAACAATCTATTGAGTGTGACAATGGGGCTTGTATGTTTTAAGGCTCATAGATTAAACCAGAACAAAAATAGCAATTGAATATTTCTAACTGATATTTGTATTTAAATTTCATGCTGTAATTCATTCAAAAAAATAAATTGTATGATTTCCTTTTTACAAGTGTTATTACACTTACTTTATATATTTTTTAACATACATTGTTAACCTCCTTTTAAAAATTTAGAGATCTTGTAATAGGCGGGCAAGGGAATGAATGTAATTGTCTGCACACCAAGTATTGAAGCCTCCAAATTTGTTATTGCCAAAAAAAAAACTCTGTTCAAAGAGATTGAATTCTACACTTCTAAAAATGGAATAGAGTTTTTTTTTAATCAATAACCCAAAACAGAAAAGAAATAAATTGGTTTGTTGCCCATTAATTTAAATGTAGCATTTGACGCAAAGGCACAAGACTAAAAGAGTGTGTGCGTGTTCCAGTTTACCCTGGAAGTCTACATTACTGAAATAATATGCACAAGTATGTTGCAGTCTGGAGATATGGAAAGGAATAGGAGAGGCTCCAATATTTTTTCAATCACGTGGCTGGCCAGGAATCTCTCTCTCATGCACCACCTGCCATTGCTGTGTGCTGAAAAGATTTATAACTCGATACTCAATCTCTTTGACCATGTTATGACACACACCTTCCTTAGCCATCAAGTCCCGAGGTGAGATTTGAACCTTGAGTTTCTGGCTCTGAGGCTAGGACACTACCCACTTTGCCACAAAACCACCCAAACATTTGATTTGTTTTGACCCAGAAGTGTTATCACACAGAACTGAGCGCCTTTCCACCACCAACATTTAAACTAGTGACCACCACCAGTATAAACAGCCATGTATCCAGTTGAATATTAACAAGCAGAGCCCATTATGGGCAAATCAAACCATCAAGGGTGGGTGTTAGAGAGAGAAGGAAGGGACTAAACCAAAATGATGTTGGAGGGGGAAGTTAAAGCACTGTATTCCCCCCAACCCACCTCTCGCTCTCTCTCGCTCTCTCTCGCTCTCTCTCGCTCTCTCGCGCTCTCTCTCTCTCTCTCTCTCTCTCTCTCCCCTTCCCCCAAGGCATTGATGGACACTGCGTTTTCCTTCTCCAAGGACACTTGGTCACCAACATAACCATAGAAGAGGGGCAGACAGTCAGCAGTGATGGCCCTCTCTACAGCCCTCTGCCTGGACCTCTTGATACCCAACCTAGCCAGGCCCAAGAGAAGGTCCTCTGGTCTGCCCACCCAAAAGTGTAATACTGGGAAATAATTAACAGACTGTACCAGATGATGGAAAACAGTGTGCAGCCTGCATTACAAATCTTCAGATCTGGGTCAGTGGGCAAGAGAAGCTGGAAATACTCAGCAGGGCAGGTCACAATCAAGGAAAGACAGAATTCAACATTTCAGGATGATCTCTAGCATCAAAATGCTAGTGAGTGTTAGTGTCCTCCCTATGTCTTTTCACTTTTAGTGTTGTGTTTTGCTTTCACACTGCCCTTGCATTAGGGCTAGTGGCAACAATTTAATATCGTGAATTGTTATGGTCACCAGGTTTTCAGATTAATAATGGTAAGTAAACCAGCCTTTTTACACAATTAACAGAAAAATTGACAAACTTTGACACAATAGCTATCATCAACAAATAACTTTATTAAACTAAATGTGTGAATCAATTTAACCACTGGCTTGAAGGATCTGTCAAACCATGGAAATAAATGCTAATCATATTATCAACTAACTTTTAATGCACAATTAATTAGTCAACCCGTTTGGAGAATTTGATGGCAAATATTAACAAACTCTCTAAGCCTCATAGCTATACAATCATTTAAAGGACAGTGGCTTCAAAAGTGGACGTATTTTAATTTTATTTGCCATCATCAAAACTGTTTGCATTTCTTAAGGTGTATTAATGAACTATGTTCAGTATTGATGACTTTGTTTTGGAAGTACCACCATTATGTTAAAAATGTCACCAGGCTCCCAGTAGACACTTATTCACCATCCGAAAAGATTATTGCTTCACTAAACATGACCTGTCAGAAGTAGAAATGATTAATTACTCTCTCTTTCCCCACCCCCTCCACTTTAAATTACAATAAAATTTCCTGCTTCACTTTTCTTTGTCTCTCGTTCATACTTTTTGAGCTCATCATTTCTGCACTGGAGATTTGATGACTGATACCCGCTGTCAGTAAAATGTATGGTTGACTCGAGACTATTTATACAAGATGTTATGACCTTCCTGACATGTGAAGAATTTCTTTGTTCTTTGTCACTATTTAAATGTGGAACATCAGTTATTTTAGTCATAGAGTCATACAGCATGGAAACAGGCCCTTTGGCCTAAGCCATCCATGCCAACCAGGTTTCCTAAACTAGTCCCATTTAGAGTAATTGAGATGTACAGCAAGGAAACGGACCCTTAGGTCCAACTCGTCCGTGCCCACCAGTTATCCTAAATTAATCTAGTCCCATTTCACAGAATCCCTACAGTGTGAAAACAGGCCCTTCAGCCCAACAAGTTCACACCAAACCTCACAGCATCCCACCCAGACCCATTCTCCTGTAACTGACCTAATTTACACATCCCTGAACACAACGGGCAATTTAGCATGGACAATTTACCAACCTGCACATCTTTGGACTGTGGGAGGAAACTGGAGCACCTGAAGGAAACCCACGCAGACATGGGGAGAATGTGCAAACTCCACACAGACAGTTGCCTGAGGGTGGAATTGAACCCAAGTTGCTGGCACTGTGAGGCAGCAGTGCTAACCACTGTGCCACCCAGCATTTGGCCCATATTCCTTTAAACCCTTCCTATTCCCAACCTTCTAACCAACCAGATGCCTTTTAAATGTTGTAATTATACCAGCCTCAACCACTTCCTCTACAGCTCATTTCATACACGCACCACCCTCTGCGTGAAAAAGTTGCTCCTTAGGTCCCTTTTAAATCTTTTCCATCTCACCTAAAATACATACCCTGTAGTTTTGAACTCTGCTACCCTGGCAAAAAGACCTTGACTTTTCACCCTATCCATGCCCATCATGATTTTATAAATTTCAATAAGGTCACCTCTTGGCCTCTGATGCCCCAGGGAAAATAGCCCCAGTCTGTTCAGCCTCTGCCTATAGCTCAATCTTCCAACCCTGGCAACATCCTTTATAAATCTTTTTTTTGAACCCTTTCAAGTTTAACAACATCTTACCTATAGCAAGGAAGCCAGAATTGAATGCAGTATTCCAAAAGTGGCCTAACCAATGTCCTGCACAGCCATAACATGACATTTCAACTCCTATACTCAATGCACTGACCAATAAAGGTGAGTATACCAAACGTCCATCTTCACAAACTCTGTCTACCTGCAACTCTGCTTTCAAAGAACTATGAACCTGCACTTCAAGGCCTCTTTTTGTGAGGCAACGCTCCCCAGAACCTTACAATTAAGTGTAAAACTCCTGCCCTGATTTGCCTGCCCTTTGGAAGAAACTTGCCATTACATTGCTGCTGACTCTGAATCCATAAACACAGTATGATTCATTGGTCATCCCCGTTTTTCTCCCAGTGAGGCTGTAATCTGATTGAACTGAGATATTTGCAAGCAAGGTTACTCTTCTCCTCATCAGTGGGTTTTGGATTCAGACGCTGACCTCACAGGAGCACAAGACTTAGTGCCAGTCCTCATCTCAACCCAAACTATGTTATAATTTCAAAGTTAAAGCAGCCTTGGTTCAACATATAGTTTCTTCTCCTCTCCCACCCCAGTAATTCACTCCACAGCCAGTGGAGTGTGAGGAAAATATTTAGCCACAAATAAATGCAAAATCTTTGTGTGATTGCATGGTTTTAAAATGTGTTTTTTCTTCTCTCTTTGCAGGGATCTTGCAGTTTAGTGAGGTTGTAACCAATATCTTGGTCCTGATTTGTGTGGCAGCCGCGCAAGCAGCAATATCTGGCTACACGTCCATGGGAGGACTTGGGGCAGGTGCTTTTAGCATCGATTCAGCATACAGCCCTTTTCAAGGCACTGAGTTGGAGCAAGTCCGGGATCTTGACCTGCAGTACAGCCAACAGAGAACCCCTGGAGTATACGGAGGGGTAGCTGTTAGTATTGTTGTGGGTGCTCTCACCCTTCTCTTTTTGGTGGGTGGTGCTAAACCTCTTCACCGCCTGTCCTCAAAATTTCTCATGGCTGAATTTGTGTTTAATATTCTTGCCTGCATTGGCTATATAGTGGGGGTTGGACTTTACCTGCATCTTATGATTTTGGTAAATAGCACAGAAGTGTGTAGATTAAGAAACCGCTTATATGCCCGTCACGGTTACACCTTTATGAATTGCGATATACAGGGTGGAGATGCCGCTGTTGCTCTATTTGGCTTAATTTCTTCTTGCCTTTATTGCGCAAGTGCAGTAATGAGTTTTCTGACACTGAAGTCACTGAAGAAAATTACCAGAGATATGTATGTGAACAATGCAGTCCGACATGACTTTGAGGAATTTGAACACTCTAAACATACAAACCGTCAGATGGATAAGGCTGACCAACAGCTCACGACTCTTGTTTAAGATAGCTAAGCGAACTAAATTTTGTTTTTCTTCAAACTTTAGCTAGTGAGTAGTTGAGCCATGTAGACAGGAAGGCTCCATATTCAATCACTGATCTGCACTGTGTTAGCTGATACCAGCTGGTGTAGTGAATTGGTCTCCATTCCCAGGGATAGAAAAGAGGAAAATTAGTTCAGAGTTTCCAATTTTGATGACTATCCAGTAGCATCTGTGGGAAAGGTGCGTCTAGCAATGTTAAACAGCAACACAACCAGGATTGTTTCTGATGATCCCTGGGTTCAGATGACTGCTAACAAAGTCAAAACTCTCATGTGAATAATGGCCTTGGCTGACATATTGGAAAATATGAAATGACCTACATACGAGGTGTAACAACAGCAAAATATTTTGTTCCACAAAATGTTGAAAAAATGTTTTTTTTAAATTAAATTGTACAACTCTGAAGGTTTATAATCTGAATATGTATGTATATTTTATAAAAATAAATTCTGATATTTAGATCATTTGGAAATGACTGCAAACACATGTTTAATACCTAATGAAGTGAATTGGAAGATGATACATTTTCCAGCATATTGCAAACGTTACATGGTGTAGATATCTCACAAATTTGTAAAATCAAAACTGAATGTGGTTTTTCAAGTCACATGATTAAATTGTAGATGCCTGCTGACAGTTTTTAGCTGATGGCAATGGAAACATATCAGTGTTTCAGTGCACTGTGATTTTGAGCTGGTGTTAAACAAATCAAGTTTCACTCTATTTGTTCAATGTGCTCTCTTACTGTGTTAAGCAAGTTTTTAAAATTATCCAAAAAGTTCATTAATCCAATGCTTTAGTAAATTTCCCATAAGCATGGTGTGTGCTTGCCTATAGAAGGAGGAACCTTCCTGTTGTCTGATAAGTCCAGTTCACGAATTGAGATATCTGGAAAGTGCCTTGTGAAGAGTCTTGGCTATAAATAAAATGGGGCCTAATGTTGTATACAGTAAAATATTTGGTTTTCTATATTATCTTATGGTTTAAAATATCCATTTCTTAAGTCTGTCTTTGAAAATAATACTGTTTAAATAAACTGACTTTCTGAAGTAACCCTTTTCATGTGTATTTTTGGCAACTGAGTGTATGAAAATGAGAATTTGATGAAAGTATTGGTTCCCTATTCATAGATCCCTATTCATAGAGAGGTTCAATGTAAACCATTCCATACAGTCATGGTCCCTTTCAAAACAAAAAGTTTATCGCCTGAGTTGCCACTTTGGCCATGTGGCCTTCCAAACTATTCCAACTGTAAAGCAATTCTAACCACACAGAGAGCTTTATACTGTCATTGACAATATATTCTGATTAGGTCCGTGACACGTTGTTTAAAAATTTCAAAAGACTTCCACTGCCGAACATAGAAACTAGGGGCAGGAGTAGACCATTCAGCCCTTCAATCCTGCTCCACCATTCAATATGATCATGGCTGATCATCTGTCTCAATGCCATATTCCCAGTTTCTCCTCATATTCCTTGATGCCTTTTAAAATCTAAGAATTTATCTTTCTCTTTCTTGAATATATTCAGCAACTTGGCCTCCACAGCCTCGTATGGTAGAGAATTCCACAGGTTCACTAAGCTTTGAGTGACAATCTTTTCGCTTATCTGAGTCCAAAATGGTCTGCCCTATATCCTGAGACTGCATCCCCTGGTTCTAGGTTCTCCAACCAGGGAAAACATCCTCCCGGCCCCCGTCCATCTTTATTAGAATTTTGTTTCAGTCAGATCCCCTTTTATCCTTCAAAACTTAAGCGAATACAGATCCAGTCAAACCAAACTGCTCATTGGACAGTCCTGCCATCCCCAGTATCTGCCAAGTGATCCTTTGCTGCTTCTATGGCAAGTATATCCTTTTTAGGGAGACCAAAACTGCACAGACTACTTCAGATGTGGTCTCACATCTGTTTGCAGTAAGACATTCCTACTTCTGAACTTAAAAATTTTTGCAATAAAGGCCAAGATAACATTTGCTTTCCCCGTTGTTGCAGCTGCCTGACTACTTTTAATGATTGGTATTGAAGGACACCCAGTTCCCCTTGTACACATTTCCCAATGTATTGCCATTTAAATAATACTCTTCTTTTCAGTTTATCACACCTAAGTGACTAATTGTATGTTTAGTATGTATGTATCTGCCATATTTTTGCTTACTCGCCCAACTCGTCTAAATCACCTTAAAATCTCCTTGCATCCTCCTCACAATCCCATTCAATTTTGAGTCATCAGCAAACTTGGCAATGTTGTCTTTGGTCCCCTCATCCAGGTCATTTATATATATTGTGAATAGCTAGGACCCAAACACTGAACCTTGCACTGCCTGCCACTCAGAAAAAGACACATTTATTCCCACTCTCTGTTTCTTATCCATCAACCAATCCATGCCAATATATTAATCTTTATCTCATATGCTTTGATTTTGCCACAAACCTCTTATGAAGAACTTTAACAAAAGGTTTTGTTTTTGAAAATCCAAATGCACACATCCAATAGTTATCCCTTATTTATTCTACTACTTACATATGTTTTTTTAAAAACCGTATTCAAGACTTCACCTATGACCAGTTCAGTCCTAAAGGGAGCCACTGCTTAGCAATCACATGACTTTGCATCACTCCCAATAATGATGCAAACTATCTTATTTACATTCTCATTAAGCCTTTACACTACAAGCTGCAGCTAGCTGTATTAATTTTGAGATTAAAAATAGTTTTCTGCGCTTTATTCATTCTGTTAAGGATAAATTTAAGACTTGAACAGGAAAAAAAACTAAGACTTGCACCATTCAACAGATACCACATTTCATAGATGCCACAGTTTGTCTGTTTGTGTATTCCTGAGGCTAACCCAGTGCCCAGGGAGAGACCAGTGAAGCAGGGGCTGACTAGACCTATCTTGAAGTGGCCTTTTGTATTGAAAATATTGTGGGGTAAAACTGTAAATCTGTACCATCTAATTAGAGCCACATCGGGGCAGCAAGGCACTAGGGTACAGGTTCAAGCATTTTAGAATGAATGTCAGTGTTTCATTCTAAGGGGAGTGGGTCTCCCGAAGGAAAGGAAGCAAAGTCAGGTGTGTTCCTTTAAGCAGCAGGTAACTAGATCCTGTGTTGGAAGTATAATAGAAGACTCAGATTGAAAGGTCAGATTGCCTTATCGAGCGAACATGTGAATGACTGAAACAGAAATTCCTGGAGAAACTCAGCGTGTCTGGCTGCAGAGAAAGCAGAGTTAACTGAATTATTTGGTGGAGGAGCGACATTGTGGGACTTCAGCAACGTCTAGTCAATTTCCAAAGACAGGCAAAGCTTATGCACCAAGCAAGAGTTAACAGTGTAAGTGTAACCTATTTAAACTGGGATAAAACTAGATCTGAAACAAAAACAGAATTCTGCAGATGATTGCACAAGTGGGCTGCATACAGCAGGTCTATCATCTCACTTCAGAGAGTTCAGCTCTGGCCTGAAGAAGGGGGCGGAGTCGTGCTGTTCCTCTCACCACCCCCTTGGATCTGGTTGATGAGACAACGATGTTGAGTGAGCAAGAGGCGTGGAGCCAAAATCAGGAGGGGTTGGAGCTAGAAGAAGGGGAGATTGCAACCCTTACTGGAGGGTAAGAAATCTTGTGAAAAGGAGGAGGAAAGGGATAAGATCCTAGTGTGTCCAAGAAACTGAGGGGAGAAGAGCCCAATCTTCAGTCCTAAGTGCAACTTGGAAGTTATGTCTCATGTTGGGGATCAGTGAGGTGCTCAGAATTGGAGAGAAAAAAATAGTTGTAGGTTTAGGGAGATGGGAGCTAATTTTGAGCTGATGGCACTTTTCAGGAAAAAAAAATGATGATAAGAATCCGATGAGAGTTTGGATCCAATTGAATTGGCTGCAGTTAATGCTCTCCGAAAGGGAAGCTGGTTGGATGGGAAATTTGTGTCTTTCTTTGAGTAGATTTACTAGAATTCTCATCGTTAACAACGTTGTTTGTGTCCCCACCAATGGAAACGAGGGATTTCTGGTCAACGTTCTTGTAGTTTCTGAACAGAAAGGGAGATAACCGGGACAAAACAGAAAAAAAATTCGTGGCCAGAAGCTGCAAGAGGTAATGCACAGGTTCACCACGTTGCGCATCTATCTTCAAACATAAAGGGAATCCGGGAATCGGTTGTGTCTTTCCCTCACAACGGAAAAGTTAGCTGGGTCTAGGAATTACTTGGCTGGATGGTGTGCAGAGAGAAGAAATATTTCATCGAGAAGAAATTGGGCAGCACAGCAAGTACAAAGTAAGAAAGTTTGACCATTGAAGCTTGAGTTAGTGTAATGGCAAAAAGGGAGCCAGAAAACAAAAACAAGTCGTTTAAATAGGTTTTTATCATTCATTCATGGGATGAGGGTGTCACTGGCTAGGCCAGCCTTTATTGCTCGTCCCTAATTGCCCAGAGGCAGTTAGGAGTCTACCACATTGCTTTTGGTCTGGAGTTGCATGTAGATGAGACCAGGTAAGGATGGCAGTTTCCTTCTCGAAAGGGCATTAGTGAACCAGATGGGTTTTTTCCCCCGACAATGGCAACTGATTTATGTTCATCATTAAACTCTTAATCATAGAATCACTACATTGCAGAAAGAGGCCTTTCGGGTCTGCACGGACCCTCCCATCCTGTCTCCATAACCCCACATTTCCCATTGTTAACCCACCTAACCTGCACACAGTGGGAAATTTAGCATGGCCAATCCACCTAACCTGCACACATTTGGACTGTGGGAGGAAACCAGAGCACCTGGAGGAAATCCATGCAGACATGGGGAGAACATGCAAACCCCACACCAGACAGTCACCTGAGGGTGGAATCAAACCCAGGTCTTTGGTGTTGCAAGGCAGCAGTGCTGACCACTGAGCCACTGGGCCACTCCATTCTGAGCAGCCATTCCAGATTTACATTAATAGTGAAGGATGTTCCTTCTATTTGGATTCGCACTCAAAGTTGATAATGAAAAAAAATACATAGACAAGCTGGGAATTCAGTTGGATAAGTTGTTCTGTGTCATGTCCTGTCCCTGCCAAAGGGGAGTCACAATAAATTTTTGCATTTAAATAAAGGCAAAATAGTGTGAATGCTGGAGAAACTGACCAGGACTGGGAGCATCTGTGGAAAGAGAAAAGCAGATCTAACATTTCAAGCTGGTATGACTCTTCAGAACCTTCAGACTTCTCAGATTTTTGCATTTGTTTTGCAGAGCAAACCAACCTTGATAAAGCCTACGGCAAGTGTTCATAGAAAATGCATCATATTAAACCATTGTGCTAATGAAAACGCTTCAACTAAAACTGTCTATTCCAATCTTACTTTCCCTGTCTTAGGAGGAGAGAGAAACAGGGTTAATGTTTCACGTCTGATATGAAGTTTCTTCAGAATTGTAGTTTGGGGACTTGGGGTCTGGGATATTGAAACAAGAGACAACATAAAATTAGGTTTGGACTTAGCAAGAGATAAAACACTACACTTGTACTAAAGAACAAATGATGGCACCAGAAATTTCTGAGGCTTTCCTGCAAGTGGAAGAGGTGTCCCTCATGAACATGCAAGAGTTTCCAAAAGCCAGGTTGATTGAATTAACAAGTAAACTGGAAGTAACATTACCTGCCAGGGCTGGGAGGACAGAAATGATTGAGCTACTTGCACAGAGCTTGGGTTTAATGGAAGTGTAAGAGGGAACTTAACTTCTGAAGGAAAAGCATTAAGATCTATCTCTCTTTCCCTCCTGCTGTCCAGCTCTTGCTCACTGTTCTTACTCACCTCTTTCCTTAAATTGCTTTTGTCATACCCCTGCTGAAGGAAGGAAAGCCTTTCAGGTACTCCAAGAGTAAATTCTCAACCAGTAACTGAAAGACTGAACTTTGGTACGGGCAAAGTTGTGTTGTCAGCAAAGAATTGAAGAAGTGTTGGTGCTGAATTCTAGCTTGTTACTATCAAGCTGTGTTATCCCTGTGTTTATTTTCACCCTCCAAAACATGCCTGAATGTGTGTT